GTGGCTCCTGGAATCCTCATGACAGTCCTCATGAGGGCAGGATTCCATCCCCATGTCACAGATGAGGAAAGCTGGGGCTCGGAGAGGCCATGTGGATACCACGGAGGGTGGGAAAGACTTCATTAGAATGGAAGCTCCAAGGGCTGGCCCGTGGCTCACTCGGGAGAGTGTGGTGCTGATAACACCAAGGCCACGGGTTCGGATCCCTATATAGGGATGGCTGGTTAGCTCACTTGGGAGGCATGGTGCTGACAACACCAAGTCAAGGGTTAAGATCCCCTTACCGGTCATCTTTAAAAAAAAAAAAAAGAATGGAAACTCCATGCAGGCAGGGACTTCAGTCTGTTCTGTTGACTTCTGTGTTCCCAGATCCTAGAAGAGTATCTGACAGAGAGGAGGCACTCAACAATTGTTTCAATAAGTGAATGGAGGTTTTGGTGTTCAGAAGCCCAATGCCCAGTAGCTGTGGGACATGACAATGGGGCAGCAAAAGCCCCCGAGTCTTAAGTACTTAGGAAGAGGGAGGTGATGGTTTAGTTCTTCTCTGAGCTGGTCCCACAACAACTCAATTGTGGCATCAAGCACCAGGCATCCCAGCAGGAGGGTGCTTCTTGATGCCAAACCCACACCCAGACGAGATGAGACAAGATGGGACAAGACCAGACGTGGCAGACAGAGTGCTAGGCAACTCCCGGTCATTCCTTCCAGAGCCTGTGACTTTCCGTGGTCTCTAACATGCCACCTCCCCATCAATAGCCAGGAGATAGAAGAGAAGGGAAATTAATATTTAATGCAACTACTGCATGTCAGGCACTGTCCTGGGCCCCTTGATACCTCCAGTCATCTGACAGTGAGGGCTTTTCAGTGTGTACTGGACACAGGGCTAGGCCCTGGTGTTGCAGGGACAAGGAAGCATGACCACCACTCTTGTCAGAGCACATCTAATGACGTCACCCCATTTTGTCCTGGAGGTAGACATCATTGCCTCCGTGTATGATGGGACACTGAGGCCACTGGGGGGGTGAAGCTGCAGGTAGAATGTGGCAGAATCAAAGCCCCATGCTCAAAAAGGCAGGATGGGTGGAACTTGCCCCCGAAGTACCTAAGTCCTCATTCAACATGCATGGTGTGTGCTGTTTTCTCCCTCAAGAAGGGTAGAAGGGAAAGGAAAAGAAAAACTGAGGAAGGAGAGAGACTGAGAGGGACGGAGGGAGAGCGAAAGCAAGACAGAGAGAGAGGCCTGTGCAGAGCAAGGGCTCCTGGTGGGACGGCAGGCGAGTCTCAGGAGGGAGCACAATGGGGTCAGGACGGACAGGAGTGGGGAAACCATTACCAGGATCTGGGCTGTGTGCAGAGTCACAGCCAGGGTGACCTCCCTGCAAGGGAGAGGGAGGGGAAGCAGGGCAGGAGAGGGCTGGTTTCAGTGCCGAGAGCTTAGTGCCCTCCCAGCTGAGCACGCTGCCACCACCCCAGGCGCAGACCCTGGGCCGGCCAGGGCTCCCCCAGCATCAGTGGTGAACAGAGGGGCTCTTCATGCTGACAGACAGCGGCATTCCGGGGGTAGAGGACGCGTGGGCTGAGAGGGCCTCAGACAAAGAGGCCTTTTGGTGGAACAACCGCGGCATCTTTATTTAACAAGGAGCCGCAGGGGAGCCGCATTGAGGGCTCATTCAGGGCTCGTCCTGACTTCAGGCTGACAAGAGGCTCTCAGCCAGAGCAGCTTCCATCAGAGCTGCCGCCAAAACCCAGTTCTGGCCAAAACCATTTGGCAGGAGAAGTTGGTGCTGAGCTGTCAGTCCGCCGCCAGGGGCCTAGGCTGGCAATGATGGCCAGAGCTGGGGAACCCCCAAACTCAGCCGTTCTGGGAAGAGCTGTGTGGGGGACCAGGTACATGGATATTTTCAGGGGTTACCATACCCTGACTCAGGCCTAAAATTCTGCCATTGGACATTCATGATGTACGCCATGTGGTGGTTAAGTCAGGGCCTCAGGGTTGGGGAGACGTGGGCTGGAGTCCTGGCTCAGCCATTCATGGGCTGTATGATGCTGGTTGTGTTACCTGCCCTCTCTGAGCTCAGTACAGTGAACTCGATATGGTGCCTACCTACCTGAGCAGCTCACCTCACCTCTGTTTGTTGTTTCATCTAGAATGAAACAGTCTAGTTCTGAAATCCCAAAGTCTATCTCCTGACACAACTGCTTGATGAGGTAAAATGAATTCTGTGGGCACATGTGAAATGGTGCCTTGAAGGTCCCCCATCCTGGCCTTGAAGATCACAATATTCACTAGCATAGCAAAGCCTCTGAGAAGTCCTGCAGGAAAGATACCCATAGGGCCACTGTGGAAGCTGAATGTGTCCCAGGAAGGGGGCTAGCACAGGCCTGGCTAGTTGAAAATGGCCTCAAGTCTGAAGGGCTGGACTGTAGGGCGTGGAGGAGAGAGGGATTCTATCCCAGGACAAAAAGCAAAGCTGTGCATTTGGCAAAACAACCACGGGTGTTGTGCTCTTTACATGGGATCAAACGTTTCCCTCTTTTATAACAGCATCAGAAAAGAAACCTTTGTATAGGCCAGCATTTATTAATAGTAATGACATCCTGAGGGACTGACATTTAATCACCATATTGACACTAAGAGAAGGATATGTCTATGATTCCAATTTTACAGAAGAAGAAATGAAAGCACAAAGAGGTTAAATAATTCCACAGGGCCAAACAGCTAGTAAGCAGCAAGATTTTGAATCAGGCCATCTGAGTCCAGAGCCTCCGCTCTGTCTGATCTACTCCCTACTGCCTCCAGTATTTCTCACAGGTATTTGAGTGTGGAGCTGGCTTTCCAAATAACTCCTAATGACAGCCCATGGAACACAGCTGGGGCCAATCCAGGTTAGAGACATTCTGAAGTTTCTTTCAGCACTAACAACCTGTGGTTCTAGGACTGTAAACAGCACCATTACCAGTGAACTTCATTTGTCTGATCTCTCAATCAA